ATTAATGTTATAATTAGCGTAACCTGATTGGACATTGTAGGGAGTTGTGTAGTTATAAAAGAAAAAGTTGTGAGTATTAGAATAACAGCACTAGCTGGTTGTACGACACGCACGACTCAGGGACACACATTATAGCAGAGGGTATAGACTAGATATTTAGCTCTTAGTTATCCAGTAAGGGGATCAAAAGTATATTTATACCAAACTAACTTAGGGACATACAAGATCATATATCTCGTGTACAAAAGCCAAGTCTTGTAGTTAGGAAGATAATCACAGAAAATATATCTTTGGTTTACCTTAACTTTAACCCGAGTATAATTATATAAACGGGTTCTCTTAGAAAGAGAGAATCTATTTAACACTTTTATAATATTATATACTTCTATTTTTAAAAAAGGAATTAAAAAGCCTTAGAAAAAGACAAAGGGTGTTTATTATATATACTGTAAGTAAAAAAACTATATAGTTAAAGACTATAACTTCCTATATCCTATTAAGGCTTTTAAAGGCTAGAAAAATAAGGATAATACTAAGGAAAAGGTCCTAAGGTAATAAAGGACTAATATAAAGAGAAATAAGCTTTGTAAGGCCTAAAAGGCCTTAATAGCTAAAAAGGCTATAATAAAGAAAGAAGATTCTAAAGAATCAGATAAATTAAACGTAAAAAATATGTATATTATAGTTATAGATAATATAGTTATAGATAACCCTTAATAAGAAAAAGAGAGTAAAATAGACTTAGATTTTAAAGATATAAGTTATATAACCTCCTTTATAATAACTATAACTAATAATAAAATAGGTAATATAAATAAACCTATATATATAACTAGAAATAATAAATATATTATGTTTTACCTAGATACTACTACTACTATTAATATTATACGTAATAAATCTTTATTTATAAAGACTACTTATATAAACAAGTATATTAACTAAGGAGATATAAAAAGAAAAAAAATCTTTCTATAAGGAGATATAGTAATTTCTTTTTTTAATAATAATAATATATATATTTTTAAAAATTATTATTATATATTTAAAATAAGTATTAATCTTTTAAGTTAAAATAGACTAAGAAGATTTAAAATAGTCTCTTTTTTCTAAGATATAAAAGTATTTTTAATAAATATAAATAATAAAAGAACCCTTTATAAGAGGAAAATAAAAGATAATTTATATTACTTAAATATAACGTATATGCATAGCGAGTCGCCCATCATAGCGAGCCGCCCACTTTTCCTTAATTCTACACTCTTCACCTTCACAACAACCTTCCTCTACGTACGACCATGAGTTCCTCTTCAAATGAAAGTCGCATTATCCTTGCAATTGAAGCTATTAAAAAGGACCCAAAACTATCCGTTCGAAAAGCAGCTTCTATCTATAAGGTCCCGAGAACTACACTTCGCGACCGACGCGCTGGACTTCTACCACGACGCGAAACTCGTACGAATTCAATGAAGATGACTCAGGTGGAAGAAACTGTGATTCTTGAACGAGTTATTGACCTGATCGATCGAGGATTTCCACCGCGACTTGACGACGTACGAGATATGGCCGATTGTCTCCTTGACGAACGTGACGCGACGCGTGTCGGACCGCGATGGGCAGAGAACTTCGTACGACGCCAACCACAACTAAAGACGCGTTTTCGACGTAGAATCGACTATCAGAGGGCATTGGCTGAAGATCCTGCAATTGTGCAGGCCTGGTTTGCCCTCGTACGAAACACAATCGCGAAGTACGGAATACACGATGACGATGTCTACAATTTTGATGAGACGGGCTTCTTGATGGGAATGCTGTCGCACGCAAAGGTTATTACAACCTCTGACCGCCGTGGAAGGCCTCGTACGAAGCAGCCTGGCAATCGCGAATGGGTTTCTGTCATTCAGGGCGTATGTGCAGATGGCTGGGCGCTGCCTCCATACGTCATTGTTAAGGGCAAATATCACCTACTCTCATGGTATACCAATGGCCAATTCCCACCCGAATGGCGCGTCCACCCTAGCGAAAATGGATGGACTACAAATGAGATTGGCCTAGATTGGCTAAAACATTTTGAAAAGTGCACAAAGTCTCGCACGAAGGGTGTTAAACGGCTCCTAATCCTTGATGGCCACAACAGCCACAAATCCACCAAGTTTGACGATTACTGCAAGGAACACGGCATTATTGCTCTTTGCATGCCTCCGCATTCATCGCACGAGCTTCAGCCTCTTGATGTTGGCTGTTTTAGTCCGCTGAAGGCTTCATATGGCAAGGAAATCGAGAAGATGATGCGGATGCAGATTACGCACATTACTAAGGATGATTTCTTTCCTGCCTTCAAGGCAGCCTTTTTTACTTCAATAAGCAAAGAAAACGTACAAGCTGGTTTTAGACAGGCTGGCCTTGTACCATTCGACCCAGAAGCAGTTCTTTCCCGCCTGGATTTCAAGCCAAAGACGCCAACACCATCCAACTCATGCCCAAGCAGCCAGGGCTCCTGGGACCCAAAGACACCAACCACAGCACATGACGCCGTACGAAGCTCTGCTTCACTTAAGAAAAGAATCACTAGTCATCAAGATAGCTCACCAACTCATTTGTACGAGGTTGTTGATTTGCAAGCTAAAGGTATTAGCAAGTTAGCACACAAACTAGCTCTTGTTGAAGCCGAGTGCCGCGGGCTTCGTACGGCAAATGAGATACTAAGTAAGCGCCGGAGAGCTAAGAAAACCCAACTACGTCTTGGAGGGTCACTTAATACAGCTGAAGCTGAGGCAATACGGGTAGAAAAGGGGTTGTTGATGCTGGAGGCGAAAACATGCGTCAAGAGGGTGCTCGTACGGAGGGGGTGAATCGCGCGGGCGGCGATGTGGTAACTGCGGAAAGACTGGACATAATGTACGAACATGTCAGGTAGTTTGGGAGACCTCTGAAGAAGAGGCTGATGAGTAGTTTCAATTGATTTCGTACGATGTGGCTTAATTGACTTACACAAATGGCTGGAGGGTAGTGAAAGGTGGGCGGCTCGCTATGATGGGCGACTCGCTATGCATATACGTTAAAAGTTTTAAATAAAAAGGATCTTAATAACTATAAAGAATATATAAATATTATAAATATAAGAAGAAAACCTTATAAATATAAAAAGGTTATATATAATAAAGAGATTAATAACTATAAAAAGTAGTATAATAAACTAAGACATGTAAATAAAAAAGTCTTAATATAACTTAAAGATAATATAAATATAACTAATAATATAATAAAAGAAGATTATACTTGTAATACTTATATAAAAGTAAACTTTACTACTAAAGTTAATAAGTATTCTAATAACTATAATAAGGTTTATAAATATATAAAAAAAGTCTCTTTTGATCTCTGTAGACCTATAATACCTTCTACCTATAATAAATATTAATGGTTTATTATCTTCTTAGAAAGAAAGTCTAGACTTATATTTATAAAACTACTTAGAACTAAAGAAGTAAAAGAAGTTAATATTACTATTCTAGAATATATAAATAAGAATAATATAAATAAGAATAAAATAAAAGACTTTAATATAGATAGTGGTCTAGAATTTAATAATAATATTATAAATTATACCTATATAATTAAAGGGATAAATTATAATATAAAAGTACTTTATACTTATAAGCTTAATGGTATAATAGAAAGAGTAATAAGGACTATAACTAATAAAATAAGAGTTATGCTTTTATAGGTAAATTTACCTTTATATTTATAAGGAGAAGTTGCTTTAATAGTAGTAGATCTATATAATATAACTCCTTATAAAGCTCTTAACTATAAGACCCTTTATAAAATAGGTAATAATATAAAGCTAAATATTAATAATATAGTAACTTTTAGATCTATATGTTACTATAAGAATAAGGATCCTAAGATGAAAAAGCTAAATAATAAAGCTATAAAAGTTATAGTACTTAATTATAGAAATAATATATATAAAGTATATGATTTTCAAAAGAAAACTTCTTTTTAGACTAGAGATATAGTTATTCTAGAAAATTAGTTTATACCTTTTACTATTAATAATAATAATATAAATATAAATAATAATATAAATATAAATAATAAAGAAAATAGTAGTAATAATAAGATATCTTTATGTAACTATAAAAGTAAAAGGAAAGACTTAAATCCTAGAGGTATAAATATTAAGCTAATAAATAATAATAATATAATAAATAATAATAATTGTTGAATGGATTCTCTCTTCCTGAGAGAACCCGTTTGTACGATCGTACTCGGGTTAAAGTTAGGGTGAACCAAAGATGTATTTTCCGTGATTATCTTCCTAACTACAAGACTTGGCTTTCGTACACAAGATATATGATCTCGTACGTCCCTGAGTCAGTTCGGCATGAATATACTTTTGATCCCCTCAATGGATAACCGAGGGCCGAATATCCAGTCTGTGCCCTCTGCCATGATGTGTGTCCCTGAGTCGTGCGTGTCGTACAACCAGCTGGTGCTGTTATTCCAACACTCACAACTTTTCTTTTGTGACTGCACGACTCCCTGCGGTGTCCAATCAGGTTGCGCTGATTGTGACATCAATAACCTCATCGTACAACCCTGTGGGTTAGGCCACTTGCGTTGTACGATAAATCACCAATATCAAAACTCCAGGCAACTGTCCATTTCCTTCTTGCCTGGTTGAGCAGGCAAGTCACGTGTTGGTGAAGTTCCTCCTTCCTCGTTGACTTCACTTCTGCTCCTGCTGTTGACGTACCTTCCTTCCTTCGTACGGCAACCTTAGCTATTTAAACCCCTTCTCACTTGTTTTTTCTTTTCCTCTTTTCTTTTCTTCTTCACCCTTCGCACGCGTCGTTTTCCCATACAATCGATCAACGACGATCTTTCCCCTTCTTCCTCAATCAACTCCAACAACAACTACTTGTACGTAGGATTTCCTCTCATACGTTTCCTCTTACTGATTCATCAATAGCACCTCGCACGATCAATCCATCATGTCTCTCGCTGCCCCCGGTGGTTCGATCTTCGGCAACATCGGTATGCATACCGATGCGTCCGGTGGTCGTTGGCTTCGTCTTCCGACTGGCAACGCCAACAATCGCGCTCTTCTGTTGGCTCTGGCCATCAACGTACGTTGCTTTTGTCCTTACCTTGTCTTCGTACGTTAACCTTGACTGCAGGATGAGGAGCGTCTCATCATCAACATGCCGTCGCGCGATATCGAGATCCGCGTCACTAGCAACACTTCTGTCCAGCAGTTTGTTGCCAGCATCATCCGCCGCCAGGGCTACTTCCTTGCGGTCTTGGTTCAGTCTCGTGGTCGTGCGGCCATTGCCTGTGGCAATAAATGCGCGACTACTGACTCCCCGCGCTTCCGCCAGTGCACCCGCATTCCCACCTTTCAGGGTGGCGCCTGCGCCGAGTGCGTCTAGCAGTCGCACGGCGCTCGCTGCACCCACCGCGGTCGAGATGTTGATTCGTCCGACAACCCGGGCGATGATGATGACGATGATGACAACGGCGGCCCCAGCAACTACAAGGCTCCCAACGTCACTAATGCTCGTGAGCCTCGTACGCCTGGCAGCAAGCTTGCAAGAACATCGGCAAGGGCGGTCGCTTCCTTGGCACTTCTGCCAGCCCCATGGTTATCGACAAGGAGTAATCGCACAACTTCTCTTCCCTGAAATCTCGTACGACAATCAGATGGATTGCACGATATGGTAATTCGGGAAGGTTGTGGATATGGTGGAGGTACGATCCGACATTGAGATCGGCATTGGTAGTGGTCAGGTATATCAGATACCTTCTTGAGGTTACACTTCGTTTTCAGATAGTTGGTTACGTACGGCGGTGAGGTCGTACGAATTAATTGTCAAGTGTTTTCTCCTAATCTTTCAACGTACGCCTCGATTCGAATCCTTAATGTGTTTGTTGTAATCAATTGTCAAGTGCTGAGTTTGGCGATTTCTTGGTGAAGGCGTCGGCAGGGTTATCTTTCCCATCAATCCATCTCACTTCTGAGATCTCTTTCTTTTCGTACGACTCACGTAGACTCATAATATCAATCATAAGCCTCTTTTCATCTGTTGTGCCTAGTCGTACGAGGCACTCATATAGAGATCGTGAGTCTGAACAGATGATAACTGGAATCCTTGGGAGTTGTAATGTATGAAGGATCTTGGTGAGTGTCGTACTAAGGGATATCCCACTATCAAATCCTGTGGTCATCCCGTACAACTCGCTTGCAAGTACGCTTCGTGTGACTCTCTTGCACTTTGTTGAACTCCAGTGTATAATGTTTCCTTTGATCTGGAAGTCTGTTGTCGTGCGAGCTGTTTCCTCAGCTAGTATAATAACAAATCCAAGTTGTGACGATAGATCTGAGTTGTTTGCAAATGATCCATCTGTAAAGATATACATCTTCGCACGATGGAGATCAAGAGGATATATGTAAGACCTCGTGTAGAGTTATCGATTTGCCACTGAAGTCGTACATTCAAAGCTTCAATATCCTTCTTACCAGGTTCCTTAGTTTGGGCTGCAGTTGACAGGTCGTATGATGCCTCTGGTTGACAGATAGATGCGAGGTATGCTCCTCTTGCCCTTTGGGAAACATACTGCTGATGTGCATCGTGCGCATCAGGATCAACGAGTTTCAGGTGCTTTGCCTGGCCTTTTTGAGTAAAGGTAATATGGTCATCGTGCGATTGAATCCTTCCCCCATTAAAGTCAATTTCACTGTTGGGCGATAAGGTGGTCTTTGGTTTCGCACGAAGTCCTTTCCTTCTCAGCTCTTCTTCTTCTCTCTGGGAGAAGGCAGGTGTAGCAAAGCTAAGTGTATCGTCTGTCTGTATAGCTGTAATCCCGAAGGTATCCGGTCCTTCTGTTGTATACAGCAAGCATGGATCGTACGTTGACTCTGTCATCTTCAGATCTTTCTTGTGATGCTCAGAATAGGTTTTGTACCAGTATAGGCCTGACTCTGCTAGGCCGTATAGTGGTTTCAAGATATGGAGAAGTGTGTTCTTAGGGTATTTGTCTTCTAACTCCTTGGGTAGTCGTGCGATAATCGTCCTGGTTAGACGATCGTCCGATTGTGTATATGCCTGGGTTATGTCTCTGAGTTCCCCTTTGCATTTGTAGTCTCGCACGAGGGTAGGTCCAATCGCAAGTATGAGCCTTTGGCTCATCCGTTGGATAGTAGGTGCCTGGGTTAAGAGTTCTTCTTTCTCCCAGTCCCCATACCCTTGTACGACAAGTCTTGACTTCTCGTACGGCTTAGATGACAAGTTCTTGATCTCTCGTACCATCCGTGTCTTGTAGATACGGAGGTGGTCATGCTCTTTTGGATTGTACGGTACAAAGGTAAAGACTCCCTGGTTAATAAGGTTGTCTATCTCTGTTTGGTCTGACTCTTCGTACGGAGCACCTGGTGTTGTAATCACATTGTCAAGCCGTAACTTTTCTGCTAACTCCTTGTGGTCTTTTTCTTTCTGAGATAGAAATGCTGATTAGTACGTGGTGATTGTCGTACAGCCCTTCTCTGGCCTTTCTTTGGTCTTCCTCTCTTGTTTGGCTGTTTCTGAGGAATAGGTCGTGCGATATCTGAATCTGACTGTGCTGTGTCTTGATGGTATGGTTTGACATGTGTCGCACGAAACTGTGTAGGACCATTGACCATCTTGACTGTCACCGTATGGCCTTCTATAGCCTGGACTTTGTACGGTCCAGTCCATCCCTTGTTTTCTCTCCATACTAGAACCTCACTCTGGATCGGTAGTGATAGTATGCTCTGGAGGTTAGGGCCATTTCTGGTGTTGATCGCACGATTGATCTCTACTTCTGCACGAATGCTCTGAAGCATTTTCATTGCCTTTTGGATTGCTTCTGCCCTTTGGGTGATTTCGGGCGATGGAGGTGAGTCCTTGTTAATCCTTGGATATGTACCAAAGACAAGTAGTGTAGGTACGATGCCGTGCGGACCAGCTGTGTCGTTCAATGCCTTCACAGCCATCTGGAGGATGGTTTCCTCGTCCGTGTTGTGCCCAAGCTCAGCATACAAGATATCGTACGCACGCCTCAGAGGAGCGTGAGCTCTTTCTATCTTGCCTACTGCCCAGTGGGCTTCTACTGGCATTTCTTCGCACGATATGCCCATGATGTCGGCATAGTTCCTGAATTCTGCTGATGCGAAGTTTGTACCTGGGTCATGTACGATATGGTCTGGTGGACCAATGTACGTGCTGATCCAGCACTTGCAAAGTGCATTCCACGTATCTCGTGCAGATAAGGACTTCAGGAAGGTGGCTCCTTGGAAGCTTGTCTCTGTGTCGATAACGTGTAAGGCGTTCTTGTCTCTTAGTCGTACGACATCCACAACTATCTCATAGTTGAAGTAGCTTTCGTCTTTAAGTGTGAACTTAAACCTCTTCGGTGCTGAGTCGTGCGATTGACAATGATGACAAAACTTCTGGACCTTTTCTAGAATGTTGATGTCAATGTTGTGATGCCCAGCCTTCTTCAGGAGGTGGTAAAGACGGTCCGTACGAGGATGTCCAAATCGTCTGTGAAGCCTTCGGAGTTGTCCTTCTGTGAAGAACATGCTGGCCTCTGTGCGACTAAGGTTGAAGAATGGGTGACCCCATTTCCGTACGACTGGGATAGGTTTTCCATCCTGCCGTACAATCACGTTGTCGACGTTGTTGAAATATGCACCTAACCTGTCTGCATCGTACAATGAAAACAGGAACGGAGTAGGAGCATCAAGGATGTGATACGTAACCTTTCCAAGCTGATTCTCCATTTCCATAGTGCCAACCGATGTGATTGAGTCATTTGCCCCGAATCGTACGTTTGCTGATCCTGGTCCCCAGGATATTGCCGTACAAGGGTTCTCCCGTAGGTATGCAAGCACTTGAGGTTTCCCTACGGTAGAGAACTTCGCTGCTCCTGTATCCCATAGTTCCCCTTGGTACGATGAGATATAAGGATCGTGCAACAAGAATTGACAGGCCTCTGACGTCTTTGGTAATGAAAAAATATCCTCCCCTGTCGTGCGATGGAAGAATGAAGAAGACATTAGGAAAGCTGATGTCTCTTCATCTCCTGTGAATTCTCCCTCCTCATCGCACGATTCGTCCACTGGGTTTTCTCCTTCAAAGTCAAGAAGGTACGAGGCAAAATCTCTCTGTGGTTCTTGTTCAAGTATACCGCATGCCTGAAGGTATTGGTCTTTCGCACGATTACGTTCTTCGTCCGAATGATTCGTAGACCAACAACCCTCCTTCTTGCACACAAAACATCTTTTCTTAGATATTGCACGATTAAACCTAGGTCGTGATGAAGGTTGACCTTTCCAAGGTTGTCGAGAAGATCCTCTGTTGTCTGACGGTCTATTGTACGATGGTCGTGGGTAACTCTTGTTGTTAGAGTATCTTCTATCCACAAAGTTGATGTCGTGCGACATAGACTTCCTGTCTAAAGCGACTTGTAGTGATGCTCTTAGGCTAGAAAAGAATTGTTCGCATGTGTGATGTGCTTTAAGATTGCTTAGAGCAGTTTCTAGCTCTGGTACACCTCTGCACGCTTGGGTGACTTGCGTACGAAGCATAATCTCCCCCTGAAAACCTGGGCCAAGTGCCCGCTGTACGAGGGGTATCTTGTCTAAGAGTATCTCTAATACGTCCATCAGATTCTTGTCTGGATTGTCTTGTCTGACTCGTGCGAAGGATAGACTTGTCCAATCTGTCCAATAGAGAGTGTGGTTGATGTTAGTGTTAAAGTGCATTTCTAACATGTTGTACATCTCGTCCCATCTCCTTGTTGGTCCAATGTGATGGAGATAAAACTCTTCCGCACGATCAGCCAAGATATCAGGAAATACTGCATGGTATTGGTCTTCAGTGATCCTGAGGCGTCGACAAAAACTGATAAAGACCTTTGCCTTGTCGTACAGGATATCGTACGGCTTGCCCGTATAATTCCTGTCCTTTCTCCATCCCTTCTGGAAGATTGAGATTGTAGTTGGCTCGCACAATCCATTCTGGACTATTCGTCTTGGTGGTAGGTCATAGATGCTGTCTCCTTGATGTAAAGGTGTTGTACGACCCTGGATTTGTGGGAAACTCTCAACCTCCTGTGTGAATCTTGTTCCAGGAGGCATGTTTCCTGAAGCTGATTGTGACTGCTCTCGTACAATTGATGTTTGAGTTGTCTGTGTATCGTACGGGGGCTTGATTGGCTCTGTTGTCGGTTCAGCTGTGTTTTGGGGTAAAGTTGATTCAGGGTTTCGAACAGGTGTTTGAGTTGTTGTAATCGTACGACTTGGTGTAAGTGCTGTACGAGTAGAAAGCTGTTCTTCTTGCTCATCAAACTTCCTCCCAATCTCCTTGATGAATTCAACTAGCTGTTGATTCACATTTCTTATTGGTGGTAATCGGAATCCCTTTAGCTCAATAAGTCGTATGAACTCTGCCCTGAACGCACGATAGACCTTTTCCCATTGGAAGGTAGACCATTCGTTAAAATCTTCGTACAGTGATATTGTCAGGTTTTCCTTTGATTGCCTAAGATGAAGCATTTCCATGTTGATGTACGCAATGTACGTAGTCATCTCTTCTTCGGACGGTGCCTGTGTAATATCGACTGGATTTCCCCAGCGTCTAGGATTCACAGTCTTCTTCCACGTGTGCAGTGGGACTTCGCTTCTTGCACTTATTTCTTCGTACGTTGGCAGGTATCCATCAATATTGTCATATTGGCTTTGACGATTGTCTTCTGGATCCTCTTGGGAAGCCATGTTGTGTTCGGTAGTCGTTTCGTATCGTACGACGTCAAAATTGGTTTGTTTGGTGCCGTGGCGCACACTTTGTACTCTACGTACGGTACAATAAAGATTCTCGTCCGGTTCAGCTTAGCAGGCGACAACGGGAATCTGTCTTGTACGATAGTAAAGCAAAAGTCGTCTTTATCCTATCTACCCGGTTCAGCTTAGCAGGCGACAATAGGTAGGATTAAGGCTTCTTAGCACAAGAGACTTTCTAGCGTGACCCCTTAGGTATCCCTGAGGATTTCTCGCCTCGCACGAAGTGCAAGACTACCCGGTAGCCCGGCTGTAAAGCCTAAGTCTTGTCTCTTCACTCTTGCTAATCTGTGATTGCACAAAGCAATCGCACGGATTGCCAAGCAACCACTGATCAGTGTTGAATGGATTCTCTTTTCCTGAGAGAACCCGTTTGTACGATCGTACTCGGGTTAAAGTTAGGGTGAACCAAAGATGTATTTTCCGTGATTATCTGCCTAACTACAAGACTTGGCTTTTGTACACGAGATATATGATCTTGTACGTCCCTGAGTCAGTTCGGCATGAATATACTTTTGATCCCCTCAATGGATAACCGAGGGCCGAATATCCAGTCTGTGCCCTCTGCCATGATGTGTGTCCCTGAGTCGTGCGTGTCGTACAACCAGCTGGTGCTGTTATTCCAACAATTACTTTATTTACTTGTAAAGCTAAATATATAGCTTTTTATAAAGCTATAAAGGAATTTATATATTTATATAACTCTTTTTTATATATATATAATAACTTAAGGTTAAATATAACGTTAAATAAGCTTATTATCTTAATAGATAATAAGGTAGTATAACGTATAATAGAAAACCTAGAGCTTTATAAGAAATCTAAACATATAGATATAAAATATTACTTTTCTAGATAAGCTATTTATAATAATTAAGTCTCTTTATACTATATTTATATAAAGAATAATATAGCAAATATATTTACTAAATTTGTTAATAAAGAAGTATTTAAATACTTTATAGAGACTATAAATCTTAATAAAAAGGGGTTTTTACTTAAAGAAACTATAAATAATAAAGATATATTTTCTAAAAGGAAAGTAATATAGCTTAAATACTAAGGTTTCTTTTTTATAAAAAAAAATTTCTTTAAAGGTTTTTAACTATAACTATAATTATAACTATTTTTCTTATAATTTTCCTTATATAAGGTTTTTATAAGTTTTTATATAAAGTAAGTTATATCTATAACTTAGATATAACTTAAAGAGGAAACTAAGAATTAAGAAGTAAAATTCTTATAATTCTTATATATAAATCTTTTTATAACTTTATAACTAAAAGTCTTATAAATATATAGTTATTTTCTTTAGATTCTTCTTGAAAAATAACTTATAAAAGTATATATTACTATATATAACTATACTAATACAAACTACTATAAACTAATATAGTCTACTACATATAAACGCATATACTTCTAAGCATTATACATACCGGCGCTTATGCCTATCTATAGGCATATACAGGCATATATATACATATATAAGAAACATATAAGTACCTCTTAGCGCTTAGATATTGAAACTGCGTGGGATAAAGGAAGCCAGCAAGTGGGCAGTTGACACACAAACCACACCAAACACCAAGGTCCCAGTATCGTCACGAGTGCACCTGGAGTGACCGATTACCCCAAGTGACTACCCCAACGCCTAGACCGTGAGATACTACTCTTTTCAGGTCCTCCTTGGCCTGATCAGGGCCATGAGCAAACCAGAAAAGTGTATCCTTCACGTCTTGCAGTCTGTTCGGATTTGCCCTTGTTGCTAAGTGGTACGCATGTGTGTGTCGTGATCTCTGGAGGAGGAGGATACCCTCCTAGACCTTAGAGGTCTAGTCAGGCCTAAGGAAACAAAGCAACAGTCACTTATTACACGTCTTGTTTAGATATCAAAGTGATGAATTCGTCCGTGTCTGTCTAAGTGCCTGTCTAAAGATGTCAAGCTTCTCTGTCTGCTTCGTGATGAGATCCCGATCTCTGTGATAGTATCTGACTAGAGCCCCCTTTTGTACTTGGAAGGGTCCTGCTTAGTCACATCTGATCAGGCCTGTGATTGTGTCTGCAGGCTGATAAAAGGAAAAATGAAAACGCGAAACCCTGCCCCTTTCCAATATACGCTTAGATATACGCTTAGATATACGCTTAGATACTATACGTATCTAAGGGACTTTTTATATAACTAAGAGATATTCCCTCTACTTAGACAGTTTTAAAGAAGAATAAAGAATAACTAAGAATAATAAAATCTTAACAGTTAATATATATATGTACCTTTTCTGTCTACCTTTATTCTTCTCTACTTTTCCTTGTGACTATTATAAATAACCCCTGTTATTCTTACTGTTTAGCTATTCTTTAAATTAACTAATTAAATTAGTAACTTAATTAAAGCTCTTAGGTTTAATTCTAGCTTAAGGTATATAGTCTTTGTTAGATATAAACTAGAAATAACCTTTAACTAGTAAGGTAAGATTAAATTATGATTTACTTAGAGCTATAGTAGTATAAAATATAGCGATAAGTGTAATGCTTACTTAGTAAGCCAGTCCCTCTATTCTGCTAAATATAGACTACTAGGTATAAGATATAGTTGCTTTAGAGTTATATTCCTTAAAATTCCCTTATCTAATGTGGTATGTCCCTTTATAAGGTTAAATTTTTGTTGTATAAAATAGAGGTATAAGTATAAAAAAAGATAAAGGTATAAGTGTTACCTTCTCTACTAAGCTAAGCTTATAACTAATAAGAATAATAGAAGGTTATTTAATAATAGTTATAAGGAAAAGTAAAGAAGAATAAAGTAAATAGAAAAGGTATATATATATATTAACTGTTAAGGTATTATTATATCTTTATTATCCTTTTAAAAACTATCTAAGTAGAGGGAATATTTCTTAGTTATATAAAAAGTCCCTTAGATATATATAGTATCTAAGCGTATATCTAAGTACTAAGAGGTACTTAGATGTTTCTTATATATATATATATATATATACCTATATATGCCTATAGATAGGTCTAAGCGTAGGTATATGTAATACTTAGAGGTATATACGTTTATGTACAGTAGTCTATAGTAGTTTGTATTAGTATAGTTATATATAGTAATATATACTTTTATAGGTTATTTTTCAAGAGGAATCTAAAAAAAAAACTATATATTTATAGGACTTTTAGTTATAGAGTTATAAAGAGATTTATATATATGAATTTAAAGAATTTTACTTCTTAATTCTTAGTGAATATATAGCCTATACTAATAGTACTAAGCGAGAAAAATATATAGGAGGGAAGGTTATAGAGGTCTTCTGTTAGAAAAGGCACGGGTTTATAAGTCCAACTAAGGGACTAGTAAAGTATAGAAAACACTTAAGGCAGTGGTAGTCTATCCACATCACAGCCCGGCTCTATTTAAGATGTAATTCAGAATATATGTATCTGCCTACGACTTCCGTTGTCGCTGCCAAGTTCTTGCGGAGCGCTTCCCATCAGCTCACGAGATATGTGTCGCAGCACTACATAGCCTTATCCCGAAGTTCACTTTGCCGCTTTGCTACCACGCTAATGCACTCCTGCCAATACTTTTCTCTGCCCCGGAGGCTTCCTGAACCCGTAGGTTCTTGACGCCCAAGCATAATTTCCGTCGGAAGAAACGGCCCATTGATCCAGAATTTCGTGTCTGCGGGCAGAGGAGGCCATTGCGTGCCGTATTCGTCGAACATTGCTTTCTCAGCAAGGAGGATGTCCTGCCAGATCTTGGGGATCCAGCCGTTGACAGCCAACACAACGTCTCCAAGGGTCACGTATGGCTTCCCCTTGGCCTCCACGTAGAGCTTTGGCGGCTGCTTGTATAACAAAAAAGGGTGCTCCTTGCACTCCTCGCAAATACAGTACTCGTTGGTGTCTCTGTCTTCGCTGCCAGGCTCAAAATCATGCTGCTCGGACATGATTTCGCATTCGCTCATGAATTCCTCCAGGTGGTCGACACAAACAGTCAAACCAGAGACAAGAGGGTATACGGCGGGTAATGATGCAATGGGATGAAAGGTTGTTGGCTCGTCGTTTGGCCCGAAGATGGCGAAAGGCTGCTGTCTTGCGAAGGCCTCGGGAGGGGGCGCAGTGATATCCAAGACCGCGATGTCGCGGAGTGGTCCGGGGACAGCCCACACAATGAGTCCGGCTTCTGGGCACAGGTGGTATGTTTCAAGATCTTCAGATCTCGGCAAGGTCGCCCCTTCGGTCACCTTGGACGGCTCGTAGATATGCTCTGTAGCAGGTGGCGTTTGAGCGGACATTGTGGGTACTTGGGATGGGCAATCGCTTTGGTGTCTGAAGCGTTCGACTGTGGCCGGCTGGTTGACTGTGGCACAACTTGGAAGAGTATGGTGCGGGCAGACATGAGCTTAAATGGGTACTACACGGATTAGTTCGGCTAACATTGACAGGGATATATAGGCATTATCCGCCCCAACCAGATTTTCTTTAGGTTGGTTCACCCCATATCCCTGTACGCAAGGGTAAAGCGGCTGGAATTTCAGGCACCCCAAAACAATTTCAATGCTTCCCTAACCACAACAATCAGTATCTCTGTCTCATCGACATCTGGCTGTATATCACAGGGCTGTGAAGGATACACATGCAAGTATGGATAGACGGTACCTCTGCGTGCCGCAAGGCGAGACGTAATCAAGGGGGTTTTAGGTATCAACGTGAAGTTCGGACACCCTCGTCTCATAGCATCACTCACTCCAGTAGGTGAGGTATGTTGCGTGCAAGAACAGAGTGTATGCGGTGATTAGAGAACCGAAATTATGTACAGGAAATTTCTATGCTCTCTATTATAGTCCTTTCACTCCCAATCGGCTGATTGAGTCCTGTTGGACGGGGTTAAGTCTCTGACCTGGACTGAGTGCGTTGATAGGAGCTCCTCCACGGTCACCTTGTTTGCCCAGTTCAAAAACTGGACGATATCCAGCGTGCTGGCGTCGACCTTGGTCACGTTGGTAGACCTTGCCACCTTCGGAATCACCTCACGGTCAACAGTCTCCGTTCCTGCATCGTTGATGATGACGCGGGCCGCAGGGTCTGAATAGCCGCCGTTAGACATTCTAAAGAAGAACATGGCAACCTTTTTGTCGTGCTGCGAATTTGGGATGTTAAAGGTGTTTTTCAAGGTCCAGCGAAGGCCGCCGTGTATCTGGCCTTGCCAGTTCTGCTCCCCATCAATTCTGCAGCCTTTACCGTCACCGATAGCTGCGCATCTAGTTTTGGTGGACTGGCTTTGGTGGTTGAGTCCGTCGCCGCCTTCGATCCATTTTGCTGCAGGGAACTCATCGCAGCTGTACTTGAGCCCCGAAGGCTCGCGGTTACCTCCGGTCGGCGGCTGCCAGGCTTTGATCGTTAGATCGACAGGGATGGAGGCGGGGGACTCGAGCTCGGTATGGTGCCACTTCCCCAAGTAGGCCGGATACTTCGACCTCATGACGGTCGGCTGATCGCTTTCAGGGCAGCTGTGAGAATCCTTCCACGGGGTTCCCTTCTGAGGGCAGACTGCTTCCCTGCGGTGTTCGTTTCCCCGGATCGGCACGAAGTCATAGGTGAAGGCGGTCGGCCAGTTGCGGTTCTGTCCAGCGGGCGAGTTGAGATAGTTGCGAGCGTTTTGACAAATTGCGGGCATCCAGTAGCAGTTGTACTCTAACCAGACAGCCTTGCCGCCGAATCCTACCACGTCGAGCCACGGCCCGGTGTTCTCGGGTCGCCATTTTGGTACGGGGTTACCACTCGTGCCGGCGTGCCACGTCCAGTCCTGGTTGTACTGGGCTTCCACCGGCATGAGATGCAGTGCGATGCCGAGAAATGCAATGATAAACCAGGACGACATGTTGCAATGGATTACAGTTGGAGAAGGAGTGGATTGCAGTTGGAGAAGGAGTGGATTGCAGTTCGAGAAGGAGTGGAAGGGTTTAAGTGGAAACGAATAGGCAAATAGTTGAGCTGCTGGTGCATGAGTGGGTGAAAAGCGAACCGATGGCATCATGGCGACTGTGAAAGACATATTATATACAGAAAACCTCAATTTCTTGCGAATATCTGAGGACGAACCATCCCGCCCGAGTGATTAGCCGCCGGTTTCCCTCATCACAACTATCGCCGTCTTGAAGCCAAGCCATGGGTCCCTTCCCGGGTATCCTCCGTCTTGGCTTTCTCAAAAAGGACCCTGTCGCCGCAACAGGGGGTTTCTGTCTCTCAATGCAACCTCGCACCAACAGCATGGATGCAGTCCTGACTAAATGGACCTCCATGTCGATACGGCCCGCCCTACTCGTGTGAATGCAACCTCGCACCAACAGCATGCAGTCCTGACTAGTGTAAATGGGACGGGCGACCTGTCGATACGACCCGCCCTACTCGTGTCAAAGTCCTCACATCTCAGAATTAAGTCAACCACCAAAGTCTAGAATATGGATCTTCATATTACTGATAATTGACCCACCATGTATACCCTCAGGCCTGTGACTCCACCTTGGCTGGCTCAGTCCCTGCTTCTCCTTGTACCCTTGTTTTGCTGCCTGATGGCACAATGCGATGGCCATGGCCTGTGAAGACAATTCTCATGCTCGGGTCAATTTTAGTCTGATACGGCTTTCCCCGTCGTCGCGTTTTTCAAGGAGCTGTCTCTTTCCAGTATTTTCCAAACTCCCTTCAGCTTGCGAGCAGAGCATCACACATCGAATCTCCAAACTCTGTTCATGTCTCAACGACAAACACTTCTAGACATGGGCTCGTTTTCAAAGTTTTTCGTAGTTGCTGGATGTCTCCTGGTTCTGCCATTCGGGTCTCTGGCAGACGACTGCCAACCTCACACATGGAAACGCAGCGCTCTTGGGGATGTTAGTTGTCGGTACACAACTCAAACATCAAACATTGTCGACGCGTCCTTGTGTTCCGAGTTCGCAGCTCTGTACCGCATCGATCTGGAACAGTTCATGGCTCTCAACCCGGACCTTGACAGTTCTTGCTCCAACATCCAACCCAAGACGGAGTACTGCGTGAGAGGACGTAAGTTGTGTCGGTTGGGCAGATTTCCCGTTACCTCACATGAGTTCATCTTGGCCGATGCTAACTGCCTCCAAGTCGTTAGGAGTACTTCCCCCTCAGAGGACGGGTATTGTGGCCAGGCCCACGGAAATGCTACATGCGCAGGCACGGAGATGCCGTGCTGCAACGGACTGACTGGGAAATGCGGTAGCTCCAGGTAAATCTCGACTGCATTCAATCGGTTCTTTTTCTTTCTTTCGATCTTCGTTTTGAGACACTGATGGGTAGGCTGCTGACATCAACACAGCAACGAATGCGGCCTCGAGATCTGTGACTATCGTTTCTCTAGTGGATGCACGGCGGTTCCGCAGAACGCTGCATCCGTTCTTGACGGCAACGCGTGCTGCAATTCTCAAGGGAATTGCGGCAGCGGGCCGGAGTTCTGCGGCATGGATGTCTGCGAAAGCGGCAACTGTACCATTGATGTCTTCGAGATGCCTGTTATTGCCGCCGCGAGAGGGTCTCTTCCCTGGCTGACTGGCACGACAACCGATGGTACATGTGGCGGCCAGGGCAATCGTTCCTGCGACGTGGTGTTCGGGAGGTGCTGCGGCCCCGATGGCTTCTGTGCCTCAGATGCGAAGGCTTGCGGTGAAGGCTGGTGAGTCTGAGAGACCAAGTCCTTGACTAACATTTTCTCGTGAAGAGCTTGACTGAGCTAACGACATTGTATGAAGCCAACCCGAATTTGGACAGTGTTCGTGATTTTGGCTGGATGGCTTGCCGCATCACTCCATTTTCCATCATTTTGAACGAACGTGGGGGAATTTCGTGATTTTGATGAGGTGTTTACAAAAGAGTCAGAGCAGACGCTGTACCAGAAAAGAAAAACCCCAAAAACAATAAATCTACTTTTATTGCCCACTCTCTGTAACTACTCTTCTTCTGTTGGACACTTGGTTAGATCGTATGTGCACCGCAGAAACCGGCGTTTAGGGCCTACGTCGCGAATAATGTACCAACTCCTTCATCAGCGGCAGTATTACAGTCCGAAGTCATAGACCTTGTGTTTCTCAGGCTTGAATACTGGTGCAGTTGAGACACCCTGATGTTCGACAGTCTTCTTACCGTGGAATTAAAATTTTAGCTCAAAGGTATGGAGAAAGTAGTTTCCGTTGACCTCGGATGATACCGTCGGCGTCTGAGCCCAACGGCCCCACGACGCGGACTCAGATGTCAAATTGTCTGCACGTCCATCTTGGACGCTCGGTAAGCGCGATTAACCCATCGAAATAGTTCCAACCAGAGCGCGATTTAACCAGCCATTCTGCCTAACCATGTCGGTGGTGGGACAACGGAACGGTCGTGCATTTGCCGTCCCCCTACCATGTCGTCGTCGGTCGGGCCGGCTGCGGCGATGTGTCAACGTCTGTCATCTCATTTCCAGAAGTCCCCTGAACCAGGCCTTTGGGTTTGTGCGGCGAAGCTCTCGGGACTAGCATTACACGATTCAGAATATCGGGCTAAAACCAGAAAGAGAAAGTCGTAAATGAATGAAAATCATTGGAGGCTGAAAGTATGGACTGCATCTTGGCATTGAGGCATAGACGAGCTTTTCGGAGAGTCTTCCGACCTGTGACCGGGGCCAGGACCAACAGCTTCAAAGCCCTGTCTGCACACGGAAGCACCAACAGCTTGAAAACCCTGTCTGCACACGGAAGCGAGGCCGGGCCCTGCACGAGCAACATCCATGTAACCCATCAACCCTGGCATACCCGGGCTCTAGCCGTCAGACCTCACAAAATTCAAAATGCTTGCACGTCCATCACCCGCTCCGCACCCCCCACATCTAACCAGTGAGTGGGCAATGTTGGTCGACGACGGGCTGGGCAGGGGGAGCCTGATTTAACTCATGGCCGGCATGAATCGGGACGGGCTGAGCTAGGGTCTTATTGCCACCTGAGAACTACCTCCCTTGAATGGAGCCGTGTAGTTACTCACAACGTCGTGAGAAGTTCTGTTATGGGCCTGGAATCCCATAGACTCGACGAGCAACACAGCCAACATCGTACCATGATTCCCGGATGCGGGTCCTGCCAGGCAACAGCAGGGTTTTCTTCCTTTTCATGCTTTGGCTCGGATATTGTTCCCCGTCTCTTATATTGGCCAACCATATGCCCACTCTTGAAGGTCTTCCTGAATGGGCACGATCAGGCCCGAACTACTTTCTGACTTTGGTCTTTATTATGACAGAAAGTCAACATTGAAGGTGATTTCCAAGGTGCTCTTTTCATACTCCTGGCGCGAGTGCCATCCATCACTCTTTTTTCTGAGAACATACCGACTGCTCGTGGACCCAACCTCTGGCTGAGTGATTTGGTCGTGAGCAGCCATGTTGCCTCTTTATTTTGTGGCCATCCTACTATGGTTGGGATGTGCCGAATCGAAAGCTGTTTTTGCCCATTTCATGGTGAGTTGGTCTATGCCATTTGGTACCCCTGAAAAGATTCAATTCTAATCTAACACATCGGTGACTAGGTTGGAAACACGGAACACTATGGCGATGCAGACTTCTCGAGAGAGATCTCACTGGCCCAGCAAGCCCACATCGACGCTTTTGCTCTGAACTTCGCGTACGGAGAAAAGACAAACGACCTGTCGCTCCCCGTCATCTTCAACGTAGCCAACCGCCTCGGCTTCAAGCTCTTTTTTTCTTTCGACTATGCCGGCAACGGCAGCTGGCCCCAATCCGATGTCATCCAGCTCATCGAGCGGTACGCGTCAGAGCCTTCCTACTTTAGACACGAGGGCACCAAGCCCCTTGTGTCGACATTCGAAGGGCCCAAGGCGGCTGACGACTGGAACCTGATCAAGGAGCGAACGGGCTGCTTCTTCATGCCATCGTGGTCCTCCCTGGGGGCTAAGAAAGCATTGCGCCCCGGCGTTGCCGACGGTCTATTCAGCTGGGCGGGGTGGCCGGAGGGTGCCAACTCCATGGACACCGTTATTGACCAGTCTTATCGCGAGTTCCTCGACGGGAAGCCGTACATGATGCCTGTCAGCCCGTGGTTTTACACCAATCTTCCCGGATACAACAAGAACTGGCTTTGGCGCGGCGACAACCTTTGGTATGAGCGATGGGTCACAGTTTTCGACTTGCAACCCGAGTATGTCCAGATCATCTCGTGGAACGACTTCGGCGAGTCGCATTACATTGGACCCTTGAACGACAAGGCCTATGTTGCCTTTGATGTGGGCAGGGCGCCGTTCAACTACGTCAAGAACATGCCTCACGACGGATGGCGGCTCTTCCTGCCATATCTCATCGACATGTATAAGAGCGACATTGCCACCATCACCGAAGAGGGGGTCGTTGGCTGGTACAGACGGACGCCGGGATCCGCCTGCGCAGCTGGCGGCACCGTGGGCAACACCGCGGCTCAGCTGCAGCTGGAGATGCCCGCCTCGATGTTGGCGCAGGACATGGTCTTCGTGTCCGCGCTGCTAACCAAGAACGCGCTCTTGACCGTCACTATCGGTGGCAAGCTATCCACGGCGTCATGGAGCGTCATTCCACCCGACGGCATCGGCCTATACCATGCCGCCGTCCCTTTCGATGGGAGGACCGGAGACGTCAACATCCGCCTTCTCAGGGACGGCAACGCTGCCTTGGAGTTCACTGGTGCATCCATCACCGGAAGCTGTCCCGAGGGCATTCAGAACTGGAACGCCTGGGTGGGCAGCGCGTCCAAATCCACAACGCCCACGGTGCCGACTAAGCGTGTCTCCGAGCTCCAATGCCAGAAGGGGTGGTCCAAGGACGCACACAACCTCATGTGCAGCTACACCTGCCGGCACGGATACTGTCCTCCCGGCCCTTGCACATGCAGCTGGCTCGGCACAGCGGCGAAGTTCGAAGACCCGCCCGTTGGTCTCATTGGGTTCCCCGGGCCCGGCATGCTGTGCGACTACCTGGGTCTCTGCAGCTTTGCCTGCGACAACGGCTTCTGCCCTGCTCCCTACTGCTTCCCGGATCCTAGCCTGGAGGGGAAGTGCGTGATACCCGTCGACCCGCCTGAGATTGAGGAGGACGATGATGACGACGACGACGAGTACGACAATGACGACCTCATCTGGATCGACCCAAAGATCTGGGACATGGACCAGCCCCGGGTGACTTGTCAACCGCCATGCACCCTAGTCTTGCCTCCGTGGACTAAGCTGCCCAAAACCACAATCAGCTATCCGGTCGAAACCCGCTCTGACAAAACCATCACACACCCTCCTCTGACTACCAGCGAATACGAGCTCTCGACGGTCATAGTGAAGCCCGAAACGACCTTCCCCGTCACGATCAAGCCAGAAATTAGCAGCACCAAGACATGGAAACCCGTCACTTACACCGAGAACGGCACGCCGCGGACATTCAGACCGACAGATCCGTACCCGCCACCCCCGGGCCCGACCCCGCCACCACCCCCCCCGTTCAAGCTTCCTGACCCGGTGGTGATCGAGAGCGGTCCTCCCGGCCCTCTCGTCAGCCAATGCGCCTTCCCGGCCCTCGGCTGCCCGCCGCCTTTGTTGGACGAGGACGATTCTGACGGGGATAGCGAGTATGATCCCCAAGACGGGGACGACGACGGAAGCGAGGAAGAGGGCAGCTGTGAGCTGCTGCCTGGCACCGGAAGCGGAGACGGCGGCGGCGGTGGGAACGGCGGCAGCGGCGGAGGCAGCGGCATCACTCCCCTAGAGTCCCCGAGACCCTCTGAGAACAAGAAGCACTGCTATGGAAGTGGCCAGGTCGTTGGGCGGGACGCGCTGGCTTCTGCTGCTGACTACTTCTGCACCAAGGTGACGGAGGAGTACAAGAACCCCCTCGGGGGCGGCTCCCTCATTGAGTACGGAATTCTCTTCAGGGCCATCATTAATTTCAAAGTAGATGTGTCGGTCGAAGTGAAGAACGGTTGCAGTTGGAGGCCGAATAAGGAGGAGTGCATCAGGTACACGAATGTGCCTCTGGACAGCTGCGACTGCAGTGGCACGGCTTTCAAGTATGGCGGATGGGTGGAAAACAACTGCGTCAAGTTCAGGGTCGACCCTAATTGGACTTAGTATAGCTGCATTTCAGCCTGAGCTGCAATACAGGTCTTGTTTTCAGCGGTGCATTGGCTTTGTGAACTTTCCGCTGGAGGTGATATCCATCTCTTCCGTTGACTGAAACAATTGCGGATCATCCTCGAATGCGAACGAAATTAATTCATCATCAACTAAGGCTAGTGTAATCGGGGTCTTTCGCAGATGGGTTGAGGAAAAGAAGTCGCGGACCAACAAAACAGTCTAAACCGAGGCCGGAAATATATTATTATTTAAGTTCACTGGACGGTGATAAAAACACCACTACTTAGATTCGCGCTACCCTCCTTCTCATAAGTGGTATTTATAAGGGCCGGATTATTATTTTGGTCGGTAATGACCAGCAAATACCTAGTGTTGTATGTAGGTATCTTTAGTTGTTTTCCGGTTGTTGCTTTTTTGGTGTTAGTACCTAGGTTGTGTGGTTTGGGTCGATTGAGGCTCACGATGTTTGGTTCAGTCGGATGCGACTGGAGGGCCGGAGTCTAGCCGCGCCAAACCTTGAACTTGGTTTTGGACAACACACAGGCCCACAAGGTCAGTGACCTTTTCATTCTACAACTCCACACAGTCATTCAAGACGGCCAAGGTAATATCCAGTTGATGACGTGAATATTCCGAGTCTTTGACTCAAGTCGTACACTCGTGGCTACATAGGAATCAGGGGAGATATCCAAGTGAACAGATACAGACGGATCAATTGTTATAGACTACTACCAACCTACTAACATATGCCCAATCTCTGAAGGCACGGAACTTGGCGAAACGTCTTCCACGACGCTCAATCAAACCTTGCTGGTGGCATGCTCCGTCTCCTCGACATCGTCCGGACCCTCCCCCTTCCCAGACTCGTTCATCCGGACATTCGCATCCTCGCCGTCAAAGATGACGGCAATCTCCTCGAGCGCCTTGCCCTTGGTCTCGAGGAACCAGCCGTACGCCACGAAGCTCTCGACGGCCAGGATGGCGACGTACACGATGTAGAACCGCCAGCCGATGTTCTGGATGCCGATCGGGTTGACGTACTGGTTCACGAAGACGGCAGCCTTTGTCGCGAAGACGTACGTCGCCATGCCCTTGGCGCGGATGCTGAACGGCAGGATCTCGACCGAGTAGGCCACGGGCAGCGGCGAGAAGGCGATGCAGTAGAAGACCTGGTACAGGAAGATGAGCGCCAGGACGGCGATGCCCGCCGACGAGGCGCTGGTCTCGGCGAAGCGCGCCGACGCGATGGTCCACCCGATGAAGACGGTGAGCATGCCGATCGTGGAGATGCGGAAGAGCGGGCGGCGGCCGACGCGCTCGACGAAGAAGGCCGTCGTGAGGGCGAGGCCGAAGTTCCAGATGTTGAGGAGGCCGTTGAAGAGCGCCTGCGTGGTCTTGTCCGTGATGCCGACCGTGTCCATGATGCGGGAGAGGTAGTAGGCGATCAGGCCGTTGCCGGACCACTGGGACATGAAACCCATGCCTTGGATGGTCAGCGAAAATATCAAGTTGTCTGGGACTGGATGGTGCTTACAAATGACGAGGAACATGCGGTAGCGGTTGCCCTTGGTCTGGACCATGGACTTCCAGGTGGTTGCGCCGAGTCCTGCGGCATCTCGTCAGCCCTTTGTCTAACAGGCAGGTCACGGGGGGTTTTCATCTCACTCTTCTCGTTGTCGATGGCGTTCCTAATCTCCTCGTACTCCAGCCTGACAAGCTCCGTCTCCTCACCCTCGCCGTGGTATCGCTTCAACGCCTTGAGCGCCTCTTCGTCGCGGTCCTTGGAGATGAGCCAGCGCGGGGACTCTGGGAGGAACCAGACGGCAGCGAGCTGGACGACGCTGGGCGCCATCTGCAGCAGGGACGGGATTCTCCAGGACCATGTGCTCGGGATCGTGCGGGTGCCGAAGGTAATCCACGCGGCGCAGATGCTTCCGATGTACTAACTGTCGAAGAAACAGACGTTAGCCACATATATCCAGGCATCTTGATCATTTGAAAGAACGGGATATAAGAGGACGTACCAGGTGTTGCAGATGGCCGTGATAGTCACACGGTCCTTCGGATGCGACAGCTCACTGACTAGACTCGGTGCCGAGGTAGTCGCAAACGACAGCCCGAACCCGAGAATAAACCTGCTAACAACAAACATGGCAAACGCAGTACTCTCACACTGCAGAATAGCACCGACGATCATGATGCAGCTGCCGACGGTGATGCCCCATCTTCTCCCGAACCGGTCCGCGACCCACGGCGCGATGGGCGTCGAGCAGATGCTGCCGAGCGACATGACGGCGCTCATGAGCCCCAGCACGGCGCCGCGCGGGTTGTCGAAGAAGTCGTCAAAGTACGACACCGTCTGCAGCGAGTTCATCATCGATCCGTCGTAGCCGCTCGTCGCGTACGAGACGACGGCCGCCGGGAAGAGGAGGAAGTACAGCCGCCGGCGGGCCGCGGAGGAGTACCACGCCGGCGACTCCTGGGCGAGCTGGGCGATGCGGGAGGGCTGGTAGGTCTCGCCGGCGGCGGCCGGGCCGCCCTGCTTGCGGGCGCGGCGGGCTTGCTGGTCCTGCCTGGGGGCGGGGAGGCGCTGGCGGAGGAAGTCCATGGTGATGGATGTTGATGAAGGGGACCCAAGAGACGACGTTGGGATGCGAGTATCCCAGGGGTGGGAGGGAGTGATGGAGGAGAGAGGTTGACTCGAGGGGTGGAGAGCTGAAAGAGCCGTTACCAGAGAGTCGGGATCTCGCGTGTTCTTATATGCGCTTGTCTCGTATGTGGCACGATGCTCAAGGGAACGGCGTGTTTTCCCGAAAATCTGGTCTTGTCAATGACGCGGAGTTGCACACTCAACTCGGGGATATCGAGGCCGTTCGGGAGATGTCGCCATTGGCGCGGGAACTCCTTAGCCTGTATCTCTTCCTGTCCCGAGACCGAACCGTAGACCTGGGAACGCTTCTCTCTGTCAGACTATTGCCGGCTGAAGAGAGGCACAAAGACGACAAGGGGGGCAAAGTCGTCGACAAGTCGGATGATGGGATGCGGAGAAGCAACAAGTGGGGGACGATCCGGGGGCTGGGGTAATGGTCAAGTTGGTCCCCACACGAAGGACATCATGGGACGAGGCCGTTGATCACTCGGAATCCGTCTCCGTGGGGAAAACCAGGCGATGGACGGTCGAAGACAAACACTCGTCTGACTCGGTGTGCTTCCGTGAATGTGGGAGGACTGAGGGGCACAAACAAGAGTTGCCGAGAATCAGCAACAAGAGCCACGCCGAGACTTTGCTGGAGTTGTGTAGCGTCGGAGATGCGTGTGGAGAAAACGTCTTTGGATCAATCCACATTCCTTCTTTAGGAGAAAGAAACCCCCTTTTTGTTGCGAGTTGACGAATCATGACTCGTCGGGGCATCTAAACTCTTCCCCCGACGCTCCTGCGGGTCACTTCGGGGGATCCAAAATCTTGCCCCTGGCGTCATCTCTTAGTCGAGTCTTTCTCAACTGAGCAGACTCTAGCAACCTTCATTTCTTGTTATTAACGGTCCTTTGGTTCTCCATGCGGGGACTTTAGCCGGAAACTGTTGGTTTTGGGGGAGAGTCCGACTCTGCCCCGACAGGAACCGGCCGCGTTTTCCTTCGCCTCGGCAGCGCGTATGTACGAGACACGAGTCTTTTCTTCCGAATCATGCTGGATAGTGGTTCCAGACGTCATGGGGATTGTGGGACGCATGCGAAGGGACCCCGCAACCCCGGCGACGACTGGATGGAGAGCTCGAAGCTCGGGGTTGTTTGTTTCTCCAACGTGGTTTACTCTGCACGTATTTAGGAGCTGGAGCTATCCTACCGGTCGACGATTGACGACGGCTTTCCGTACTGCAATCATCTCCTTCTTTTCCCTGTTCTTACGCCCGGTTGAGCTCTCGATCGCACGCCCATAATGTCTACAGGAATCTTGAGAACGTCCGGCCCCGACATCGTCGATGCGGCCGGCAACCCGGTGCGCCTCCGCGGGGTAAGTCGTTCGCATCACGAAACCGAATCCCTTTCTTCATCCGTGACTCTACTGACCAATCCCTCCCTCCCCCGCAGACGGCCCTCGGCGGCTGGATGCTCATGAAGTAATAAGACTACTTTTTAATTAATAAAAAGACCAGATCACTGTTACTAAAAAGGTGGTAAAGGCTGTAACAGGGAATAAAGAGAATAGCAAGTAAGTGATAAGACTACTTCTCGACCGGTAAGGAGACCAGATCACTATCACTAAGGAGGTTTTCGTTACTGTTACAACCTATGGCTAGGACCAGGTTTTAGACTTCTTATCTCAGAAAACCGGTTACATCCCTTTTAAGGATAAATAGCGTTATATCGCACGGTTTTATTACGCAGCGACAGCCGGGGATGTTCAGGTTATCGAAGGGCTCTTACAGGAAGGCGTGAAGCCAGACACAAAAAACGTCAGAGGAGTAACGCCCCTATGGAATGCAGCTAACTTTGGGCACAACCCAGTCGTTAAGGCCCTGGCGCATAGGACAGACGTTAATGTCAACTCGAGGTCAGTTTGGGGTAGATCGCCTCTTTTCTGGCCAGCTAGCCGTGGTGATGAACCAGTTGTGGCTACTCTGATGCAGGCTGGTGCAGATCCGGCCATCATGGACTGCGATGGCGATACGGCGATCAGTATGGCAAGAAAGAATGGACACAAAAGGATTGCTAAGATGCTCGAACGGTCGCGATAGAAGAGACTAGTTTAGAATCATGGCATAACGTTAATAGATACTACGGTGATCGCCCCGAGCTAGCCATCTCCCAGTTTAACTGTCCCCTTATTGATAGCATTACCGATAACGATCGCTTCATCCCTCTCGCCGTGTCCATCATCCCGCGAAATAGCTCACACAAGCACCAGCGGCTCCACGAAATAACCAAACAACGGACCGACTCAGCCTCACCCAAAGAAGCCCAAATGCAACGTAAATCAGCTCGTACCCGCCGTGTCGGTCATCGACCTGAAAGCCATACCCGACCCGCCGAACAGGACCAGCGCTTCTCCATCTCACGGCTCAGCGTCCCCACGAGCGCCAGTGACGGGCGCCAGCCTATACCTGGCGGAAGCAGCAGACCGAGGACCTGCAGGCCGCCAAGAACGCCGCCGAGGCCCGCAACAAGGAGCTGCAGCGCCAGCATGCCGAGAGATTATGGCGGCATCAACATAAAAGAAAATAGGACGCATTGCCAGTCCAGACAAGAACGCGACTTAGGAGAAGCAGGGCAGTTGAGCAATGATGTTGTGGGGGAAGCGTTGCGAGGAAAGGCAGATGGCACCTTGACGAGGAGACCAGATCACCATTACTGAGGGCGTGCTGAAGGCTCCAGCGGGGAACTATGGGAATGGCGAGCAAGTGATGACACTACTTCTCGACCGACGAGGAGACCAGATCATTATCACTGAGGAGGTATTTGTTACTGCTGCAACTTGTGGCCAGGATCGCGTTTTAGATTTCCTATCCCGGAAGACCGGTCATATGCCTTGTTGAGGCTCGAGATGGTAGTGCGCGCAAAGTCCTGGGGCTGGCAGGGCTGGTGATGCCGTCCCGCTACTAACATCTCGTGACCTCCTTCGTTTAGGCAAGCGACGATCACGGCTCTCGTAGCCGTCTTCGATTCCCCTATGACCTCGTTTCCTCTAGCTGGTGATGGCATCACCAACTTATGAGGATGGGATAGGAATCGTGAAAACTTCTGTTTGAGGCTCAGCCAAACTGAATGGATGAATGGATGGATGGATGGATGGATGGATGGATGGATGGATGGATGGATGGATGGATGGATGGATGGATGGATGGATGGATGGATGGATGGATGGATGGATGGATGGGTGGACGGGCTGGATAGATAAATAAAGTACTGAAGTGGGTCTTTGATGATTACTAATTTTAGTATTAACCGCTATAATCTTATTCGCTATCAAGCACCCACTAAACAGGCAACCGAAACACGTTTCGCGAATCAGCACCTGTCGAAGTACGTCAATTGATAGGATATCCTTGTTGTGACTATTGCTTGTGTATTGGCTATTGTGTGTGTGTGTGAGTCCCCTCTTCCGGCGGACCCCCCCCCTTTGCCTAGTACCAAGATGCACGTGCCATCGGATTTTGCGTATTTGGCTGGCGAAATCCGTCCAAGGTATGTATCCGTCATTTTGCCGAATTGCCCCACTTTCGTTATGCGCGCAGCCACATTACCCACTTCAACACACCCTCTCAGATTAAGGCTATTCGCAGACTTAATCTAGCAACTTAAATAGGCAACTACCTCTTTCTTATAACTTCCTAATTAGTAATATCTCTTTTTAGTTTTCTTATATATATATAGTAATTTCTATAAATATTATTAAAAGGGTCCTAGACTTATCTTATTAAAGTAGTTAGTTAATAGGTTTATTATTTTCTTTTAACTACGTTTTAATGCCTAAGATAATAACTTAGGCTAGAGCTAGTAGAAAAGGGCAGGGTTTCGCGTTTTTGTTTTTCCTTTTATCAGCCTACAGACACAATCACAGGCCTGATCAGACGTGACTAAGCAGGACCCTTCCAAGTATAAAAGGGGACTTTAGTTAGACATTATTACAAAGGCATCAACATCTTATCACTAAGTAAACAAATAAGCTTAACATCTTTAGATAAGCACTTAGATAAATATAAATAAATTTATTACTTTAATATCTAAATAAGACATATAATAAGTAACTATTGCTTTATTTCTTTAGGCCTAACTAGACCTCTAAGGTCTAAGAGGGTATTTTTTTTTTAAAAGATTATAATATATATATATATATTACTTAATAACAAAAACAAATCTAAACAAACTATAAGACGTAAAGGATATACTTTTCTAGTTTACTTATAGCCTTAATTAGGCTAAAGAGAGCCTAAAAAAAGTAGTATCTTACAATCTAGGCGTAGAAGTAGTTACTTAGGGTAATTAGTTACTCTAGGTATACTTATAATAATACTAGGACCTTAGTGTTTAGTGTAGTTTATATATTAACTGTTTACTTATTAACTTCTTTTATTTTATATAGTTTTAATAGTACCTTATAATAAAATTAAATTATTAATCTTTTTATTATTTTATTTTAATTATATAATAAATCTAATATTAGTACCTTAAAAATAGCTTTAATTAATAAAATATATTATTAACAAAATATAAAGAAAATAATATCTTTAACTTAATTAGACTTAGTCTTAGACGTAGAAGTAAGCCTAACCCTAAGAAACTATAATAGATAAGACCTAAGAAAAGTAGAATTCTCTAAAAAAACAAAGAAATAAATAACTAGTTATAATAACATAATATAACTAAATAAACCTTCTATATAAATAATCCTTTTATAGATAAGTACTAAATAAACCTAATTAAAAAAAAAAGCTTATAAAATATAAAATAAAAAAAATAATAAAATAAAAATAATACCTTCTACTAAAATTAGTAAACTAAGAAGTTCTCTTAGTATAAATTATAGAATAATTATAACTATAAACTAAGCCTAAAACCTCTTAAAAGCTTTTTATTATATAAGCCTTAATCTAATCAGGTTTAATATTATACTATTAATAAAGACTAAACGTTTTAGCGTTAATAGATTAGCAGTAATAAAAATTTAATATTTTTTTAGGATTAGCCTAGACTTAATAAGTACCTCTTTTAGAAACTTAATTGAGGATATAATAAACTAATACTTTATAAGAATATATAAAATACTACTTTTAAGTCTAATTAAGTTAATAGATTAAGCTAAGTAATAACTTTAAAGAGATTTTATATATAATACTTTAAGATTAATTTAAAGTAATTAATACTATTTATACTTCTTATAATTAACTTACTAAAATATTAATAATATATCTAAGCTAACCCTATTAATAACTAACATAAAGTAGCTTAAAGGTCTAACTAATTAAGTCGCCTTATTTACTAGTAAAGCTTTCTAGAGTTACTAAGGCCTTAATAATAATATAAATACTAAGTCTAAGACTAGTCCTAAGATTCCTAACTTTAGAACTACTAAAAGAAATAAAAGTAAAGACCTAAGCTTAAGCTATTAGTAGTACAAAAGGAGTCCTAATTAAACTAATAAAAATATAAGCTTTTTCCTTAATCTAGTATTAGACTCCTTTATTATAATAAACTTCTAGGCTTAATAACTCTTAATAGTAAACCTATTATCAATAGTTAATATAAGTATAACTAAGGACTAAGGGTCTATTAAGCCTAATTAAAGCAAAACAAATAACCTGTATTAGTTAACTATTAAGATGTTACTACTAAACACTAAAAGGGCCTCTATTTTTAATAGCTATAATATTACTAATTTCCTTAATAAATATAAAGCCTTAACTAAGCTTACTAATTACTTTAACAAAAAAAAAACAAAGTATTACTATAGTACTTACTTAATAAACATTAAGTAATAATAAAAATTAAGGCTAAAAAAGAGACTTAGTAAAAACTAAATAAGTTCTTTTTTAATATTTATAAATAACTTAATAAAAAGGTTATTTTTTAACTAAACTATTATATTAAAGACCTTATAAAAAAAAACTTAATTAAAAATAATAACTTAATAAAAACTATAACTTTATTTTAAAAAGTTAAAAGTATAAAAAAAAAAGTAAAGGCTAAAAGGAAACCTATAATAAGTACTTAAAAGCTAATTAAGCTTTTTACTATATAATTTTCTAAAAACATAATTATAGTAGTATCCTTATAAATAAGATTTTCTTTTATTAATCTATTTAAGAAAAAAAACTTTAATGCCTTTAAAAAAGTAATACTTATATAAGTAAAACAAAAGTTAAGATATAAAGGTTATTACAAAAATTCTAACACTTTTACCTTCTTTTTATTAGCTATTATTCCTTATTCCTTAAAATAGCTTTCTAGCCTTAATTAAGTTAAAAGTATACTCCTTAAGAAGTCTATTTTTAAAGATATTAAAGTTATAACTAATCCTACTATAAACAAACTTTTAAAAACAATAATAGCCTTTACACTTACTGTAAAAGCTAGTTTTAAAGCCTAAACTATCTCTAATAGTTAACTTATAGTTATATATAGTTATAATATCTTTATATCTAGTCCTCTATAGCTATATATACTACTAGCTTAACAACTATCATCCTTTAATAAGCCAGGTTTTATTCTAGGTTATCCTAATTAGTGTTAATATAATATATATAACTAAAGAAGATATTAGATATACCTATAACTTAAAAAGAACAAAGAGGCTAACTTAATTATATTAAACTATAACATCTATAAGTATAAAGTACTTTAAGGATTAAATATTAAAGTAAATAAAGTTTCTAATATTATTATCTAAGAAGCCTATAAAAACTACTAGCTTAACTAAGTTATTATTTTTACTTATATAATAAATAACACCTTATTCCTAGAAGCTATAAAAGCAATAAAACGTATAATTAACTAGGGTATTAGATATCTTTTTTAACCTAAGATATAGTACTACTTACTACTATATACCTAAGACGCTTAGGTAAATCTTATTAAATACGTCTTAGTATTTCTTAAGATATACACTAAAGTCTTCTTAACTTAAGGAATAAAAGTAAACATAATTACTAGGTTATTAAATATAATACTATAACCTATTCTATACTACCCTAATTAAGTAAGGCCTTATTTAGTATACTAAGGCTTTATTTTAAAAAATATATATTAAAAAAGAAATACTTCTAGTACTAGCTCCTAGGCTAAAGAAATAAACATTAATGCTTATACCTAGACTCCTCTACTAATACAACCTACTAGTCCAGTATACCCTAATTAAACCTATTAGACTCCTAAAAGTTCAAAGTCCTCTTTTATTCAAGCTATACTAACAAATAAACACACTAACTTTATACATAGTTTAAAATATACTTAAGAACCTACTAAAAAGGATTCTATCCTAAATTAACTAAAGATAATAAACTAAGTTATATCTACTTAAGCTATTACTAAGAAATTTAAAGAGAATATTACTATCCCTTTTAATATTATACTTTAAGTCTAGCCTTAGCTTAACCAAAATACAATAATAATAATACGCTAGATACTAGACAGCAACAAGTACTTAGACATCTACTTAGAGGCTTCTTTTAACCTGATTAGAGAGGTAA